TTGTAGCCTGTAACCTAACTTTAAAAGTGGCATATCCAATAAAAAAATAATCATAATCTGATCTGTAGTATCGTATATTCCCCGAGCATCCAAACTCAGAAACTTGATCTCAATTAGCATAGATATAACGGTCAAGTTTTTAGTCAATGTTCTATACAAAAAATCTGGTATGATTTTATTCTACTTACATCCTAAAAACCTGTCATTATACGTAGATGTGAATAGACAGTGCCTGCTGTCACACTCGACAGTCCTTTTGCCCTTTGCGTAGGGAACCATAAAAAGGTGCTTTATATATGTATTAAAACCGTTTCCTTAACAGCACTCAGAAAATTTGCAATCTAACGGGTCGCTCGGCTCCGCACCGGTTTTTTATATGTTATTTTGTATTTAACTGCAACGTCATACAATCTCTATTAGATTGCCACAAAGAGGATTGACTACCTTAAAACACTTATTCTCGCACAACGATATAAATATCTGATAAAATCACGTACATCTTCATTCTTCTTCTTCATATTTTTTGTATAACTCATACCTTGTACTGGGATGAAAACGTCCTTAAAATGCCCCCCCCCCCCCCCATGTTTATATAGAGAAGGAATATATGATGATAATATTTATTTTAATTATGCAATAAAAATTATACTTACTATATACTAATTATTAAAAAAAACATTACATACTCTACCATATGTATAAGTCACATATACTCTTTTGTCATTAGAACCTGAATAATGTTCAAACTTATAATTTAACTTAATTATGGTCATTTGGCAACCATTTGACGACCTCGGTGGTCTAGCGGTCTAGCACATCGCTTTACGTCCGACGGTCGTGGGTTCGATTTCTAGCAAACATTTGTATTCATGAGTATGATTGTTTGTATCGGTCTGGGTGTTTTCTATATATATTATGTATGTATTTACGAAAAAAAAAATCTATGTATTTGTATCAGTTATCTAGTACCCATAACACAAGCTTTAGCTAACTTAACTTGGGTCTAGATGGCGCTGTGTGAATTGTCCTGAGATTATTATTATGAGGTGTTCAGCTCACTAAAAAACCGACTTAAGTTTCACAAAAACTCACTTAGTGTTTGCTTCTTAGGCAAAAAATCACACTAAGCTATTCTCTCTCCTATTTACAGTGCAGCAACACAACCAATGATGTACTTCATTTATGTACAATGGTAAACTGTATTCATTGTACGTTATCAGATAACACTGATGCGTGAACAAGAATTTTTAGTTTTTTTACTGGTTAATTATATTTAATGTTTATCTTTATATGTATTATTATTTATTGTAACTACATGTGCATACATCAAAACTGCTAGACTGATTGTGATAAAATTTACATGGGATCACATAGGAAGCATCAGCTTAGAATTGAAAAAAAAATACAAAATTGGTGAACAATACAAAAAATATATAGTCGAATTGAAAACCCTTTTTTAAGTCGGTTATTAAAATAGTCATGTTACTCACTGATAACGTAACTTTCCATAGTTCTGGGTTTGACTTGTCTTACGATACAAGTCAAACCCAGAACTATCGAAAGTAAATACAATATTAAAAACCGCTAGACTACCGAGGCTTGCAAACTCTATAGCTGAAAGATTTTAAAAACCAGTTAAGTATTTTTGTGTTAAACCATCACAAACGAAAAAAAATAAATATCTTAGTTTAGATTAGATATTCAAAGAGAAGTTTATTCAAAGTCAGTTCGGGAGATTTTCAAATGATTCATTCACGAATCCAAATTTGTGTGTATATACATTTCTGGATCGGTGAATGTAAACATTACTTTATGGGTTCAATGTGATTTCTAAAATTAAAGTCTAAACGTTGTGTCGTGTAGGCGGACGTTTTTTGTTTAGTTTGATTAGTTTGATTTTAGTGTTTAGTTGCTACCTTTAGAAGTACAGACTAATATATGCGTATCTATCTACGCATATATTAGTTTTATATGTAAAACCTTTATATTCGTTAAAGGGCACATATAAGGTACAGATACAAAGCAAATCCAAAAATCCATTGGCTACTTAACAATACTTACTAATATTATAACCACGAAATTTTGTGAGAATTGATGGATCAATGGATGTTTGTTACTCTTTCACGCAAAAACTACTGAACGGATTTTAATTAAACTTTACAGTAATACAGCTTATACATCAGAATAACACATCTTTATATGGTATAAAATAAAGTCACTTCCGCTGTCTGTTCGGTCAGATTTTTTAAACTACCTGCAGTTTTTAGCTATAGATAGAGTGATTCAAGAGGAACTTTTAGATGCATTTAAAGTTTTACATATACATCAGTGCGAAGTTGGACGGGGTAGCTGGTAATATTAAATTAGATAAATTATCTACAAGAAGATTTGTATTTTAGTAAGTTTATCCATTACATCACGCTCTTTCATTTAAAAAGCGTGATGAAAGATTGTGGAAAGTGGCAAGAACTCCACCAACAAGAGCGTGGCTCTTAAATTATGTATGTAAAACGTAAGGATTACTGCTAAAACTTTAATAATGTAATAATCTTAAATTATGAATGAATGAATGAATATAAAGAATACACATCACTAGTTAAACTTCAATAAAGGTACCACCCAAGGAATAAAAACACGTGCGAATCCGGGCCGGTCCGCTAGTTTATAATAAAAGTCAAATTACCAAATGATTAGCATTTGAAGTGATTATACAATGTAGAAACGTGGACGAAAAAAACAATACGCAATTTCTGTTTGAAATACTGTTTACGCTCCGCCCATCTTCTCTATATTGACAAGATTAAAACCTTATTTATTACTTTTCTTCTAAAAAAACGAGGACGAATTGGATTTTTCTGGAATTTGTGTTTGTATTATTTTGTACTATAATGTAATAAATAATAACAACCTTGAACAATCTACACAGCGCCATCTAGTGTCAAGCTAAGTAGAGCTTGTGTTAAAAGATTAAACAAAGATTATTGATATAAATATTTAAATGAATTTTCTTTGGTAAATACATAAATAATAATAATAATATCTCGAATCAATTCACACAACGCCATCTAGTACCAAGCTAAGCAGAGCTTGTATTAAGGGTACCTAGACATTGATTACTGATATAAATATTTACATATATTTTTTTTAAATACATACATAATAATAATAATAATATCCATAGACAAGTCACACAACGCCATCTAGTCCGAGGTTAAGAAGAACTTTTCTTATGAGTACTAAACAACACATAATTAATTTTTTTGTTTATAAATACATACATAATATTCATAGAAAACACTCAAATCCAAACAATCATACTCATGATTACAAATATTTGCACCGTGCTAGGAATCGAACCCGCGACCATAGTAAGTGAAGCGGTGTGTTAAACCGCTAGACCACTGAGATCGGCGATATATACCTACTAGTTTTAAGTATAAAGTTTAGGTACGAATAAACCCACATTATGCAAATAACTATATAGGTATCCGACTGACTTACAAAGCGCTTCTTAAAGCATTCCAAAGATACCAAATACGGGCACAGATTATCGAATTTATATTAGCTATTTTGAACTAATATTATAGGAGACTAGTATTACTACGAGAAGGACTGAAGGTTGTGCCCAGTGGTGTGCCTTGGGAGAGGCCTATGTCCAGCACAGCCGACTGGAGTAGTGAGCTGATGATGATGATGATGATGATGATGATGATGATGATTATTATATATTCATATATTTATTTATTTGTGCGTTTATTTATTTTAAATATGAATATATTTATGATTAACAACATATTCTAACTACGGGTGCACAATATTAATTAGAATAATAGTACAAAATATACCTATATAATAATAATAATAAATAATTTGTTTTTTATTACTCAAACACTTATATGTAAGACAGTTTCTAAAGTAATTTAGTAGACAGATAGATCAAGTGCTGGATTACAACTGTGCTAGATATATAACAGTAATTAATAAAATAAATTTATCATTATTAAAATAGGTATTCATGTCGATTAAAAGAATCATTAAAATCGGCAACGTAATATCGTAGCTCGCGTATAGTTACAAACAAAACGAAATAAAAAATAAATGAATCGTGTTCATTAATTATTATGAACCCTTTCTGTTAATGTTGAGTTTGATGAGTGTTAATGTTGAGTTTGATGAGATGAGTTTGATGTTTGAGTTTGATGATGTTTGATGTTAATGAAGAGACGTAGAGAGATGTTAATAAGTTTTTGATAAAATTTTACATTTATTTATTTGACAAAGACAAACCGAAAAAGTGTCAATTTTTAATAATGAAACGCTGTTAATCTACTGCTGAAAGCATAAAATATAAAACAAATTATATAGATGTACAAATTACATAGTGCACATTGTCCTATTTTGAAGTCGGTTAAAAGTTATTGTGTAAACCAAACCATCTTATCATCGTCATAATAGCTTAATATAATAAGTGCAAGTGACTTGGGTGATAATATATCTATTCATAATAAAAACTCTACCTACATATGTATATTATACCTATCTACTGAATATAGTTAGTTACTAAAACTTTTAAAAATTATACAATATAATTTTCATAACTATACCTAAAACAATATTTATTTTATACACAAACAACCGCTTCATATAATTTCAAAATAAATAGGTAGAGTCCAAACGAAAACCCTTTTTAATCTGTTGAAATCAAAATTAATTATTATTTTTAAAGCATAAAGTTTATATTGATATTATATTCAAAATTTAAACAAAATATTTTATAATTTTCATAACTATCCTTGAAAAACATTTATTTTTCACAAAAACGCCGACTTTCGATTGTTATATGATAAATGCAACTAAATAAGAAATTTCTATTTAAATTCAATTCAAATTTAACGAACATAAGTAACTAAAATTTTATTTAACAAGTTTATATATTTATTCATATAATAACTATAATATTGATTAAATATAATAAATAATAAAATCTCAAAAAAACTTACTACAGAAATCGTTGAAATGTTCACACAAACATCCGATTCACAGATGTTCGCACAATTTGAAACACATTCAAAACACTTCGAAACTATAACAACAATAATCCATCTCGGCTAAACGTCATTGAATGTTTTTTATATATTTTTCAATGGTAAAAGTACGATATGAGAGCATACAGTGAACACTGTGACCGGCTCCACAGACGGCAGAATACTGAGTTTGGATCTAGACAGTGTTGCCCACAACGATTGAGCATGCCCACTATTTATACTAAAAACGTACCTAATTAATAAATATACTTATAAAACCAATAAATTACAATTTTACATTAAATATATACCTTAATTTAAACTAGCTGCGAATTTTTTTCGTGTTAGGTACATGGTGATACGTGGTGGAGAAACAATAGTTTTTAACTATTTTGTTTGAAATTAGAATGAAAGAATAGAGAAGAAGAAGAGAATAGAATAGGCGTAATATTTATTTAAATAAACTTAAAGTTAATTAATTTTGAATAGTCATATTTTTTATTCTACAATAAATGGTAAAAAAGAGAGAGAAGAGAGAAATAGAACAAATATTTTTTATTAAATATAAACTTAATACATAATTTATACATACTTAATACATATAACTTTTACATACATATAAGTAATAGACATTTGGATATTTTTTTGATTCCACCACTCTTTCGGAACGCAGATTCATTATAGAAAGAATGAGTAAGGAACTTGCGTGTCGTTGAAATTAACATTAAATTTTACAGGAGGTTTGATACTGATGTATATCAACTGCACTCAAATCATTTAAGCCATTTCCAAAGTTAGCATACGCAAATACACAATAATTCTAAAAACATTTTTTTTTGTTCTTACATATGTAAATACAACGTACATATAATTTTTAAATATTTAATGTACGGACGCTGGTTTATTACGATTTTATAACGTATACACTTATAGTACTAGCGATGCCCCCGACGTCGTTCATATCTATATTACAATAACATACTCGTATACACGTATGCCCCCGACTTTGTCCATGTCTTCATTACATATTTGTAGGTCGCCATCTGTTTGATGATAATTAAATGACAACAATAATAATAATATATATTTATTTTTCTCCACAAAATCATACATAATAAAGAGTGCTGCATACAATAAATAAAGCATCTGCGAATGGAGCGAGAATTCTATGGGATTATCTAAGACAACTAGGAAATAAATATTGTAATACGAATTCATGAAACTGATCACAGTTAAGTAAAAAGGAGATATAAAAACAGGAATATCAAAATAATATAAAAAAATTATAAAAGATGATACTCAAGCTGCCAGTAAGTACAAATTTCATATATTCGACGTAATTCCATTATTTGATTCATAATAAATTGATAACATTGTAAGTGGCGTATTAAAAATTGTCACAAAATTAATCTAATTCGAGTGTATCATTTAGCCTATATGTTAAGATATATTTAATAATATGTACTGTTAAAACTTCATCCTACCTTTAGTCATTTTTACACGACAGTTTCACGAACAAATAGACCATTTTCGCGATTTTATGATATATTATAATTAAAAAATAACGATTATTGTTGCTGGCAGCTTGTCTACCATTCTTTTTATAAACTTTGTATTTTTTATATCGGTTTTTTTATGTCACTTTTGACTAACTGTTGTTACTATTCGCTGTGCGCCATTTTGGGAAATATACACATTTTTCTATTCTGATTTTTAATAAAATAGTCGTTGTGTTCCAATTTATATATACCTACCATATACAAGTATGATAAATAAGTTATTTTAAATTATGCCTTAGTAATAATTAATGAATTACATTTTAATTATGTACAACTATAAAGTTAATACATGTAAATGTTAAAAAAGTACACAATAACAAAAATACTACAATTTTCCAATAAACAATATAGTATATACAAAATAAACATATAGAAAATTATAGTTTTTATTTGTATTAATTATTTTCATTAGCCATCAGGCACCATTATTTCCCGCCAAAAGTCAAGTAAAAACTACCAGATCTCCTGTTAAAACTACAAAAACAGTATTTGTATGCATTTTTTTCTTTGAAAGAGTCAATAGTCATGCATTAGGCATCAGACACAATTTTTTCTCACCAAAAATGGGGTAAAACTGCCAGATCTCGTGGTAAAACTACCGAGCTGGCATCACTAATTCTACGAGCCACATAGCTGAATAAGATCAATGTAGTGAACAATTATATGTAAACATAAACTATCTGAACACTATCGAACAATGACTCCATAATTAATTATACTCTGATTAATTATATTATCATTGTTTCAAATCTATTGAAATGGTTTCAACTCCAAATTTGATTTATTTAATCTGATACTGTGTTGCGGGTATTTGTTGATCTTAGCGTATTGTATTTAATTCACTGAAGTTATAATCTTTAAAATAGCAAACATAATACCTAGTAATATTATTTTGACGGCCTCGGTGGTTTAGCTAGTTTAGATTCGAACCCGTGACCATCAGAATTTTTTAAAATAAATAAAAAAAGGAACCTTTTTGTTTATTTATTTTAAAAATTTCTGATGATCACGGGTTCGAATATCAATTCCTCGTACGGTGCAAACATTTGTATTCATGAGTATAATTGTTTGTGTCGGTCTAGATGTTTTCTATGTATATTATGTATGCATTTACAAAAAATATATATATATACTTATATCAGTTGTCTAGTACCCATAACACAAGCTCTGCTTACCGTGGGACTAGATGGCGTTGTATTAATTGTCTAGGTTTATTTATTATGATATTAGAAACTAGTTGTGCCCGCGGTTATTTATAGTCTATGTGTTATTCTGAGGTATGCCCTATATTATTAAAGTTAATAAAATAAAGTTTAATTAAAAACAATTTAGTAATTTTTGCGTGAAAGATTAACAAACATCCATCCACACTCACAAACTTCTGTTTATAATATTAGTAATATTCTAAATACAAAAGTGTATCACTACTAACAAGCTACTCATCCCGGCTTCACCCAGGTTTACATGCATTATATATATAAACCTTCCTTTAGAATTACTCTATCTATTATATTTAAAAAAACCGCTTCAAAATCCGTTGCGTAGTTTGAAAGAATTAGGCATACATAGGGACGGACAGACAGCGACAGCGACTTTGTTTTATACTATGTAATGAAAATGCAGACAAAGTCGGGTAAAAACTGTTGCATAAAGGTTAACTTTTGTAAATTGGAAAGAATGTAAGTACGATAGAAAGGATTGTAAGTGAAAAAAATTTTAACCAAATAAAATAAAATACATATATATATTTTGAATAAAGACTATGTTCAGTCTCGTACTACGTGTTCTAATTCCAAAAATTCATAATTTATTAATATTTTGAATAACGAACATGTTCAGTCTAGTACGTTATTCTAATTTCAAAATTTCATAATTCGATAATCTTTTTAATAAAGAAGATGTTCAGTCTTGTACGTTGTTCAAATTTCGAAAATTCATACTTCATTAATATTTTGAATAAAGTACATGTTCAGTCTCGTACGTTGTTCTAATTTCATAATTCAATAATCTTTTTAATAAAGAACATGTTCAGGCTCGTATTTTGTACTAATTTCAAAAATCCATACTGTATCAATACAATGAATAATGTATTTTACGTATTGTTATTCGTTGTTTTATAAACTCGGTAGCACTGAATCTTTATTTACTCAGGTGTTTAAGATTCATTAATTAATACGAAATGTGATAACGTAGGCTCGTCTCATTCAGCAATTAGATTATTGATTGTAATATTTGCATTATGGATTGATTGCCTGTTGTCGCAGTACAACCCACATGAAATTAGGGTGTCTTCACAATATAGCTGAGTTCATATGAACCCGTATAATTTTTTTATTTGTAAACCAATTGGAATGAAACAAACACAAAATTTGACGTAAAACTTACCACATATATTGATGAAAACTATATATAAATCGGTTAAGCCGTTTCTGAGATTAGCATGCCCAAACGTACAGACAACCAGACAAGCATTTTTTACAATAATTGTTTTAAGTACTTAAGTTAATAAAGTAGATAAATAGTTTACTATATTTACATCACATAGTAGGTAAATTATATTATACCGTCATTCCAACGGTCGCGGGTTCGATACTCGCACGGTGTAAACATTTGTATTCATGAGTATGATTGTTTATCGTTCGTTCTGGATGTTTTCTGTGTATATATTTGGCGGATGGCGGGGCCTTAGTGGAGGCCGACAAGATGAGGTCAGGTCAGTTAGCCCATCGTGACAAATTCACCAGGAATTTATCCTGTTAGTTTCCAGGGCCAACATGCCATGAAATATTGCTAACAAAGGGGTCATCAGTTAACATTACTGACAATCTCATTTCCCCCTCTGTATATATTATATATGTATTTACAAAAAAAATGTACCCATAACACAAGCTCTACTTAGCTTGGGACTCGATTGCGCTGTATTAATTGTTCAAGGACATTATTATCGTCCATATACGTATATATATGTATATATGTAGTTTGAACTTTACAACGAGTGTGACTATTTCAAGTTACTCCACTGTATCATTACAGATACCATTATTTACATTATTTGGAGTACAGCCTGTACCAGATGTTGATATTGTTATCTGATAAAGTAATCCTATGAAGATGTGAAACGAATTTTTATGACCTCGTCCCAATAGCACACTGCCTTACTTCCGATAGTCGCAGGTTTGATCCCCTCTTAATGGCGGGAGAATTGTTTGTAATGAAGAATATTGGTCCCACTGTTAAAACTGTATCATATCGGAATATCCTCCTCACGGTCGCCACTGGAAACCGAACGATTTCAAAAATTATGTCACTATTACAATACTATTTGACGATCTCGGTGATCTGGCGGTCTAGCACACCGCTTTACGTCGCGGTCGCGGGTTCGATTCCTCGCACGGCACAAACATGAGTATGATTGTATCGGTCTGGGTGTTTTCTATGTATAATATGTATGTACTTACGAAAAAAAAAATCTATGTACTTGTATCAGTTCTCTAGTACCCGTAACACAAGCTTTAGATAGCTTAATTGCGGACTAGATGGCGCTGTGTGAATTGTCGTGATATTATTATTATTATTATTACTCTGAATAATGCTGTATTTATTAATAGAAA